TTTTGCCCAGGCTGGAGTGCAATGGCGCGATCTGGGCTCACTGCAACCTCTGCCTCCCGGGTTTAAGTGATTCTCCTGCCTCAGCCTCCCGAGTAGCTGGGATTACAGGTATGTGCTGTCGCGCCTGGCTGATTTTTGTATTTTTAGTAGAGACAGGATTTCTCCATGTTGGTCAGGCTGGTCTCGAACTGCTGATCTTTTGATCCTCCTGCCTCAGCCTCCCAAAGTGCTGGGATTACAAGTGTGAGTAACGGCACAGCCAATAAGAAACAGCTCTAAGTGCTAGGAAGAAATGAACATATTGATGTCACACAGATTTGAGGCTAAAGCAATCGAAGGACTTTAATGGGGAGATCAGAGGAGGCCCAGGAGCTGTTGTATGGAGAGAGGCTGGGTGCGAGTTCCGTGCCTTGTATATATGGCTGGGCAGTTTATCCATGTGTGCAGCTGGTGAAATCCATCCCTGGTGCAGGTCCTGAGGGGCCTGGGAACCTGCCTGGAAGGTGGGACCTGAGGGACAGCCCCTTGCGAAGCATGGGAGGAATCTCTGTGACTGGGAGAGTGGTGAAACTCTATCTTTCCAGCAGGTGGGGGTGGGGGATGGGGGAGAGGTGGGCTTGCAGTGATGTTCCCATCTAATGATGGAGAAAGGCTGGGGGGCAGTCCCATGGGAGTGGTCTCTGTGCGTCTCTCTCTGGGTGTGAAAGCAAGAGCTGGAGACTCTGATCAGATGCCCAAGAGATTCTCCCTAACAGGAGCTGCCTTTGTGCCCCTGCAGACAAAACCAGCCAGGGCCACTGTGGCCCTGAGGGCCTGTGACAGAGGAGGCTCTGTGCCTGCCCTGCGCCAGGTGGGCCCTCCTCCCATGTCCTGCTCTCTTGTTTCCGCAACACCTGTGCTGGCTGCCTCTGAGAAGTTTCCCGTTTATTTCTTGCTTCTCTGCGGGAAAAAGGGGCCCTTCCAGCCCTGAGCCAGGGCAAACCTGGAGAGAAAGGCCAGAGCAGACACTGTCTGCAAATGTGCGCTACATCCCACCTGCACTCCCTGGCCTGCACTCAGAATCCTGATCTCAGTTGCATGGACATGGTGGGCTTTAGAGAAGTCATTCCTCCTCCTCCAACTCCTGGCCAGACCCCCAGTACAACAGTCCCTTGCCAGTCTGGACTCTGTGGCTGAGGATAGGAGCAGGAGGAAGGACAAGCAGGGGTGCTGAAGCTTGGAGATGGGTCTGAGGTTTGTGAGAGCCTGGAGAAGGCCATGTCACATGAGCGGGGGAACATGGAGTCCCCAGAGGATGGGTTAACCCAGAAGGATGGTGACCAGCTCTTCAAAAGTTGCACTGGGGAGGGAGGGGTGAGGACCTGGGAACTACTGTTGGACCTCTGCATGGGGGCTGCAGAGAGATCTCTTCATGTGGTCTGGCATGAGGCCTCCAGGGCAGCCCAGAACTTGCCCAGGCTCCCCCTATCCTTCCCTATGGGGGATGCTCTGGCCTCTAATACATGGTTATCTGCATCTGAGCATCTGTGTCTGGTCCACTGGGAGGAGCTTTGCATCTCTATTCCTCATGCTCAGGGGCCTGGAGGGAAGGGTGGACTGAGCATCTACCAGGTTCTGGATGCAGTTTATTTCCCACCCCCACCCCCACCCAGATGGAGTCTCACTCTGTCACCCAGGCTAGAGTGCAGTGGCACAATCTTGGCTTACTGTAACCTCCTCCTGCCTCAGCTTCCCAAGTAGCTGGGATTACAGGTGCCCACCACCACAACCAGCTAATTTTTTGTTGTTTTGGTATTTTTTTTACTAGAGATGGGGTTTCAACATACTGGCTAGGCTACTTTCAAACTCCTGACCTCAAGTGATCCACCCATCTCGGCCATCCAAAGTGCTGGCATTACAAGCGTGAGCCACCGCACCCCGCCTGGATGCAGTTTCTGATGCTTTGAGTGCTTTAAGGGAGAAAAAGGACAAAGATTGACAGAAGACCATTTGGGATTAGAACCCCCCACCCAACTCTCCCACTCCCATATGTGAATTTTGGTGAAAGAAGCAGCAAAGGGGATCCTGGCTAGAACTTTCCAGGAGGTTCTGGAGTGGCTTCAGGAGGGTCTGGGGATCCTGCAGCTGTTATCCTTGGGATTCTGACCTCCCTTGGTGAGGAAAACAGAACAGAGTACCTGTGGCAATATGGCATTGACCTTCAGGTATTGAGACACTTGGCATGAAGCTACAAGGGGTATGGGGGGGGACAGAGGTTGGAAGTGGGAGGCTGGGATACCCTCCAGGCAGTGGCAAGCCTGGCCTTAGATCCTTGTAAGCTTTGGACTCTCTCTGTATGGAGGGTCCTTGGCTTAAGGCACCTCCTGCTGGGCATGGCTGGAAATGGACTCTGCCCTGCTGAGCTCAGTTCATTATTGGCTGCAGGTGGGGAAGCCTTGGATGTCATCATTACTTCCTTCTCTTTCTATTGGTTCGCTCTTCTTTCCTTCTGTTTGCTGAGTGTCTCTCATGCCTAACTGCTGAGAAGATTTTAAGAATTTTCTTAAGAAAAAGTCATCTTGTCCTCCTCTCTTAAGCTAGGCAGGGCCACACTTTAGCCAATCTTGTCTGAATAACGTCCTCCTATTTTAGAAATTCCACAAGTGATTCCTTTGGATGCAACTTCATTCTACATGCTATGGATTGAACCCTATTTCTTTCTGTCTCATGTCCTATCTATTTCCCCTTATCTATTTCCTCTGAGTTGGGGTAGGGAAACTATAGAGATTGAAGGCCCCTGGAAGAGGAAGAAGGCCCCCTCTGCAGACTTGGAACAGGACTCAGCAGTGCTGGGGCTTCCCTAGAGATTGTGGGCATGAACAAAGGTCCGTCCTGTTGGAGATGGGCTTGCTTTTGTGTGGGGATCACACTACCTCTCCTCCTAGCCCCTGATGCCCTTCCAGCTTTTATCCAGAGCATGTGTGGTGGTTGGTGGGGGGAAGGGATGAGGAGAGTGTGATCCTCCCTGGTGGGGTGTTGTTAGGGGCTGAGGGTCCCTAATGTCTCTCTTTCCCCACTCTCTGTCCACTTGCCAGCAGGAACCTCTTCCTTTTCCCTCCCTGGGGTCCTGCTAGTCTCCCCCAAATGCTGAATCCCCTGCCTTGTCTTGAGGTGGAGAGCTGAGTTGCAGTGGGGACAGGGAGGGCCTGAGGAGTCTGTCGTGGAGGGTGGGCAGAGGAGAGCTTGGGGGCAGGGGTGAGCTAGCTGAGAAACTTTCAGGACCTCAGCCCACACAGTGGGAAAGGGACCCTGGTTGGTGCTGGAGAAGAAGGGGACAGGGAGGCAGTGTCACCTGGAAAGATGGCCCTGAGATGGCGCTAGGGCAGCCCAGCCCCAGGGGTATGGGGGAGGGGTCTGGCTGGGCTCCAGTGGCGTTTGCTGCGGAAGAGGCCCCCTGGCAGCTCCTCCGCCCCTCCTCTCTCTAGGGTTGGCAGGCTGCCTGCCCTCCCACTTTCTCTGCAGCCGCAGAACCCCGGGCAAAGCTCATGGCTGCCCCTCCAGCTCTCCGCAGTCTGTGGGTCTCCGCCGGCCTCTCTCTGCCTTTGTCTCCCTGTCTGTGTGTCTCTCCCCATCTCTCTCCAGGGTCCGGGACCTCCACCTTCCCTCTCTTTTCTTCGCTCTTCCTAGTTCTAGGTCCTGATAGGATGACCTCACACAATATTCCTGAGAGGCCCCATCCTCCGTTCAGCTGAGCACAGCAGAGGCAGGCAAAGGCAGGCAGAGGGAGAAGATGGGAAGTGGACGCCCTGAACCCAGAGCAGGCGGGTGCAGCCCCAGCCCTAAAGCGCTGGTCCAGCTCTCCTCTCTCCCAGACAGGGTCCATTCCAACCTGTGGGGGCTCTTTGGATGCTCGGGGCGTTTGAGCGCCCTCACACCCTAGTTGGCTAGAGAGAGATCCTGGCTGAGGAGTCGGGGCGTGTGGCCAGGGTAAGAGGTTGGAGGTTGGACCGGACAGCTGGTCCAGACGGGCATAGAGTCCCCACGTGCGCGCCTGGCACAGGGGTGTGTCTGCTTGAGTCATGGAAGCCGGAGGCCTCGGTTTAAGTTAATCACATTATGCCCTGGGGAGCAATATGGGAACTGGAGTGGGCTCCGGAGAGAATCCGGGCACACGCACACACGCAGGCTCACACCCTCCCTGCAGCCCGGAGCACAATGCTGCCGCCACCGCCCGGGTTCCCGCGGCTGCCCCTCCTTGCTCTCAGGTGGACGCCCCGCGCCGGGCGCCGCCTCTGCCCGGTCCCCTCCCGCCTCCCCCGCGCGGCTCCCCGAACCTCAGAAGTTGCCGGGGTGCCGCGCCCGCCCCGCAGCGCGCCCGGGAAGCAGGAGGCGGAGGCTGTCAGGCCGCCAGGGGAGGAGAAAGAGAGCTGCGGAGGAAGAGTCCCCGAGGGTGTGAGCCCCCTACCGCCCGCGCCCCAGGGGGGTTCCCCGGAGATGGAGCCCAGCGCGGGCCTCCCACTGCGCTCCTCCCGCTAGAGGGGGCAGGACAAGGGCTGCTCCTCCGAGGCTGAGCCTCCGGGAGACCAGGGGCAGGGCGCCCGCCTTCCTACCCCGCCCCATCCCCGGAACTCCGCGCCAGGAGCGGCCGGTCTCCGGCTCCCGACCCTCGCGCCCCAGGCGCCCACTCTCGGGCAGCATGACTCGGCTGAGCTGGTGCTTGTCCTGCGTGATCCGATGGGGCAAGTACCTTTTCTCGTGCCTCCTGCCCCTGCGCTTCTGCATCCGCAGCCAGGTAAATACTCTCGGCCACACCTGACCCCTTCCGACCCTGCCACCCTCTCCCTCCTAGGTGCTCCTCTCCCGCAGTTTCCTGGGCATTGGATCTGACTTTTAAACCCTCCACTCTCAGGGACCCTCCGTCTCGGGCGCCGTCAGCCTGGATCTCAGCAGAGTTTGGGACTCCGGGGGAGTCTCCACCCAGGCTGCTGGAACCCTGGAGGGGGAGTTGCTGCCCCTCCCCAAGCGCACATCCCTGGATGTCTTAGGCTTGGGTCAGAAGTCTGACAGATAACACCGGAGTCCGTGGGAGGGCGGTGGATTTGGAGATACGGAATAAAGTTCCTGAGGTTTTAAGCATCCCTCTTAAATTTCCGTGGGAAGGGAAGGTGGGTTCCTGGAAATGCCCCCTGCCTCCCAATCCCTAGGAGCCGCCGATCTAAGGCAGGGAGGTAAGGAAGCGAGATGGACATGGGAATGGGGCAGCTCGGGGACAGCAGGAGGGATTTCCCACTTGTTCAGGAGGATAGAGGGACCTGGGAACTGGACAGGGAGAGGATGGGGGCTGGGTGCCAGGGAGGGAGCAGCAGCGTTGGGGGCGGGAGCAGAGGTCTGGGAACCTGCAGTGCTGTGGGTGGGCGTGTCCTAGTTGAGCAGCAGTCTCCCTGTGATTCTCAGAGAGGATGTTTGACGTTGCCTTCAGCATGTGTGTAATGTGTGTATGTTTGTGTGTGGGGGGGAGTGTAGACAGAAGGGTGGGGGTGGAGGTGGGGGCATAGCTACAAAGTAGGGAATTGGAAAACCTGTACATCACCTTAAATTCTCCCTGGAGGGTAAGGAGAACCCCAAGATCATGACCTAGAGCCCCCAGGACCCCAGGAACCTCTAATGAGGGGAAGGATTCCAGGGACTGGAAGTCCTGCTTTCGGACCCACTCCCTTGGGGCAGGGATGGTCCTCTGTCACATGGGAGGGGGAAGTCCACCATTCTGGTTAAGAGTGCCAGCTATGAAGCCAGCACCTGACTTTGAATTCTGGTTTTACTAGCTGCAGCCCTTGGGCTAGTTACAGGATCTGCCTGTATCTTAGTTTTCTCATCTGTAAGTGGGGATAATGAAGTTATCTACATAGTTGGAGTGTTGTAAGGATTAAATGAGATAATGCATTTAATGTTTACCTGTACCTACTCCATAACAGGTGTTTGATGAACATCAGGGATATTATCGTTGTTATTATTTGCTTCCAGCAGGGATCTCAGCTCAGACCTGTAGGCAGGCCAGAGCTGGAGTATGTAGGGATGGAGAGATTGCTCCCAGTACCCATGCTTGCCACCCAAATGGATGAGAAGGATCCTTCTGCTCCCTCAGGAGTTTGGACTTTTAGCTCCTTCTCCCAGGTGCTATCCTTGAGCCTCAGTTTCCCTCGCTGCTGTTCCGCAGTGGGGAAAGGTGCCAGCAGGCTTCCGTTCCAGTTACCCAAGGTATGCTTTGAAATCTTCCAGCAAAATGCATGGTCCTCAGGGATTGGCTGGGAGGCAGGCCCTGCAGCTGCAGATCACAGGGCTGGAGATCTGTCCACATTCCATTGGGTTCTGAGTTCAGATGCCATCCATGGAGTCCGGAGTTCTAGATTCGAGAAAAGAAGCCTGAAGTGGGAAATGGCCAGCCAGGACCAGGTCGGTTGGACTCCAGACTGCTTAGCAATGCCCCCTTCTCATTTGCAGGGAGAGGTAGAGGATGATGGAACCACTTCACTCGACTCTCCTCTTCCTCCTGGGCTAGGATTTGAGCTGGTGGCTGGGGGTAGGGGGCTGTGGATGAGCAGCTGCAGCTGCCTCCCTCCAGCCTTTGAGGGGCCTGAGTCAGGCAGGAAATTAGAGCTGGGGAAGAGATCAAGATTGTGGAGCAGAGCTCTGGGAAGGATCTTATTAAGCATTGTTGGGATTGGGCCCAGACACTGTCCCCACCTGGGGTGATGGAGAAGGGGCAGTAGAAGAAGGGGTGTGAGTGAGGCTCCTTCTTGTGTCAGCTGGGGAAACTGAGGTTCATGCAGGACCTGCTTGGATCTCTGCCTTCTCTCTCAGAGAGCACCCACATATCTGCAGTGCAAGAGAGTGACCTCAGTCTGGGACTAGAGGGGTGCTGGATGTGGGGGCTGGGGGCAGGGCCTCTTGCCCATGTGGTGCCTTGGTGGGCATTAGAATGTAGTGCCCCATGTTCTGGGCTGAGGCATGTCATGCCAGGGCTTGGTGAGTGGGGCATGGATGAAACTTGAGCTCCCACTCACGCCTTGGCTGCACCCTGTGTAGTGGTTCATGGAGGCTCTGCTAGAGGTTTGAGCACACAGGACTCAGAAGCTGAGTGTGTATGAGGGTGAGGGGTAGGGTGAGGTAGCATGGCTTACCTCAGGGAGGCCCTAGGGGCATCATGGGACAGACCCTTCCTGCACCCAGATCTCTCCTCGTTGACTCTTCTGGGGCCATGAGGGAGCCATGTAGTAGAACTGTCCCTGGCTCCCCACTCTCTCTTGCCAAGTAAGACCCATTCCCTGGGTGGCTGGACCCCTCCCTGGAGCCTCAGCGTCAGCCCTTAGGTGAGTGGAGAGGACAGTTAACATGTCACCACAACATGGAAGCACAGCCCCTAGTCCTGGGGTGATGGCATTGCTATAAGAGCAGTAGGAAAAGTCTCCACTCATGGGAGACGTGGGATGAGATGCCCCAAGCTCCATTTTCACACATCATACTAGCTGTGTGACTCTGGGCCAGTTGCTGAACCTCTATGTACCTCCGTTTCTGCATTTATAAGATGAGGGTTAATAGGAGCCTTCAAGGCCATGCCGCAAGCCAAGTGCCAAGTTAGTTGATATTACTCTTTCCTGGAGCAGGGGCAGAGTGTCGGAGTCCGAGGGGTGAGAGGGTTCGGGTCCAGGAGCTGAGTGCTTTGGTGGAGATTCCTGGGTCTCGAGCTGTTGGGCTCTACAGCTGGATGCTGATGGAGAACCCCCGTGCCAGCTCTACCCACACCTGTTGGATGTGAGCCCTCCAGGATGGTCTGAGAGGTGGGCTGCAGTGTGAGTGGCCCCAGTGTGAGAGATGGCAGGCTGCAGGGTTTAGGGAAAAAATCCGGGGTCTGGGAGCCAAGAGACTGGATCTCTGCTTTTGATGGGCTCTGTGGCCTCTGGTGAGTCACCCCACCTCTGTTGACACAGTGTGGCGGCGGCGGTCTGTTAAGCAAGGGGACTGGATTAGGCTAGAGGTGCCCTGAGACTAACCCTCCTGGCAAACATGTTCGCTTGGACCTTCAGAGTTTTTTTGTTTTTCAGCCAACACTTTCAAATTTGTATTTTTTCAATTTTCTAAAAATATTTTCTATAAAATATGGGGTTGGAGTTCTGTGGCAGATCAAAAGATGTGGAGAAGTGGGTTTGTGTTGCTGCAGGCTGTAGCGGGAACCAAGGAATGGGTGTCACCCTTGCTGGGTCCTCATAACCCCTTGCCTGCTCCCCTCATTGAACTTCTGTGTGACCCCCCAAAGGGGATCTCTTACTGTGACCCCTGGGCAGCTGAGCTTGAAGGCCTTTCCAGCTCTAAAATGCTCTCTTTCCTGAGGCAGGGGGAGAGTGACCTTCAGATGCAGTGACCAGTGGTGACAAAGGAAAGGCTTGATGCCATGGTAGGAGAGGGGTGGACATCAGTAAGAATGTTTAGATGGACAAGAGTCAAAGGATAGGAAGCTTGGATTGGATGGGATGGGGCCTTGGCCTGGGAAACTCATGGCATCACAGGAGTTGGAAGGCACATTGGAGGCCATCAGCCTGGTGATTCTACAGGTAAGGAAACTGAGGCCCGGGGAGGGGCGTGCCAGGCTCAGGCTGTAAGGCCATTAGCTCATTCCTGCCCACACTCACCCTTCCCTCTGCCTTGGCTCCCCCTCCTCCAGGCCCAGGGCCAGCACCAGAATCCACAGTCCTGATTCTGTTTCTTCAGCTGGCTGCTGAGCAGGGGTCTGGAGGGAGGATCGGGGGAGGGCAGGAGTGGCGGGATGGCACAGGGTTGGGGCTGGGTTCTGAGGCTTCTGGGATGCCAGTGCAGAGCCCCGGTCAAGCCTCCCAGTGTGTCTGCTATATGTGAGACAGGGGTCTGGGCACAGTGTGGGGATCCCAAGATGAACGAAGCCATCCGGGCCTGCGGAGAGTCTGCAGCCGGCTGGAGCTCTGCAGCGGGGCGCTGGCAGCAGGCAGAGCTGGCTGCAGATAGGGCGGCACTGAACATGTGGGCAAAGTGAACAGGTGGGGCTGCCTGAGGCCCTTTCAAGGGGAAGAGAAGGAAGGTTTGGGAAGGGGGCAGTGAATGCTTACAGCAGGAAAATATGTTAGGAACCACTGACTAATTGCTTGAGTGATTGAGTCATTCTTTAACCGTGTCTGGTGCCTGCTGTGTGCCAGGCTCTGGGGATATAAAACACAGGACACATCCTTGCCCATGTGTGGGTGGGAGTGGAGACACCAGGCTGTGAAGGAGAAGTAAAGGCTGACAAGCCTGAAACAGGGTCATTACACACAGTTAGAGACACCTCCGTCAGCAGAGTTTAACATTCAACAGGGAGAATGGTGGTTAATTAGCAGGAAGGACTTCCTGATCATGAGCGATTAATATTCAAGAGAGACCCCATAGGCTTGGTGAAGAGGAATGGGGGCATTCTGGAGGGAGGGCACCTCCAGGGGAACCCCCAGCACTAGGGTCCCCACTTCCATTCTCAGTCCTAGCTGAGTCCAAGCAGGGCCTCCTTGGGCTGTGTGGGAGGCCAGACAAGTTGGTGTTGCTGTGACTTGGTCTTTGGTTTGATTTTCCAGCATTTCTGGGAAGCTCCAAGGTGATTTCTGAGAACTCCAGAGAAAGCTGGCGGGAGATGTCTTCAGTGACGCCAGCAGTGAAGGGCTGTGGGAGCAGGCAGGGGGAGCTGGGTACGGGTGGGCACAGGGATGTCAGGGGTTAGCTGGCTGAGCCCCTGAACTT